AATATCACAGAAATGCATTTTTTAACGCAGTGGTAGCTGTTTATTTAAGGTGACAGCTTGACTGACAGATGTAAGTTTATCTAATGTTTTTCTACGGTGAATATATCTGTGAAAATAATTGAGTATAACGCGAGCGCCTTTTTTTTATATAATTTTCAAGTATTTAGTAATCTTAAAGATTTAGGAAAATATTCTCTAACGTTTTATTGAATTTCGGATACTTTAGCTTTAAATTTATTATAGCTATCGTTCTTATTTTCTGATAATGTTGTTTATGAACATCCGTATCTACAAAAGTCGGCACGTTTATACACATACAAAAAGTTTTTAATTCTTTTTATAATATTGGGACCCGATGAATTGTACTACTTTTCCATTTCTGATTAGTAAATAAAGATTTTATTTAATAACAATATCACCTAAAAGCACAAAGTAATACAGTAATTTAAAAGCTTTAAAACTTTATAAATTATTCTAATTAAAATGAATAATTCTAATTAATTTTAAAATGAAAATAATTATTGTAAGAATTTATTATTCATCGATAATTTTTTCTTAAGACAATAGTGTCCATAATATATCTTATTTATAAAATCAATTAAAAGGTTTTCTAAGTACATAATGTCTTATTTCTATTGCATTATTTATTTTACGATTCAGAACAGATTTTTGGTAACTCGGGTTCCTGTTTGGTCACAAAAATAATTGATTTAAATTAAATTCTTCAAGGAGTTCTGCTTTTTTAACTAATATAAAAATTAAGTGGCACAAAAATTAATTTCTCGAAATTTGTAAAATAATTTTATTCATTCGTAAATAAGGTCTGAAAGTTTCATTAAAATCCGACAATTATTTGATTTTTGTAAGAATTTCGAAATCAATGTGTCTTTCATAGAAAAAAAAAACACAAACACAAGGTAAAATTTCCTATACAAATCTTTTTCTGCCAGTTGACGCAAAAATCAAAATTTGAAACCAAAATTTCGAATATTCTAAAAAGAATCAATAATGAAACTTAATAATGAAAAAAATCCTTTGCTTTTTCTTTTTAATAATTTTGCATAAAGGTTTTCACGATAAAACTTCGTTTTTATTTAGTCTAGTGCATTTTTTCATCCCGATATGATCATTTTTTAGCGAATCAGTGGTGGTACCTAAACAAAATTGATCAAAATATAAACAAAAAGAAACTAAATGAAATTATAGACTATATCTACCCAAATTAATTTTAAATGTTTAAAATTTCATCGCCCCCTTCTATTTATGCGCATGTTTAATTAAACTAAATGTCATTTACGTACCAACACTTTTGCGGAAAACGGCATAGTGTAATGAAAAAGTCCACAAACTTAATAAAAATAAAGTTTTATTGTCAAAATGTTTATGTTATTATTAAGATGAAAGACCAAAGTATTTTTTGATTATTTTTTTATATTTTTTAATCCTTTCTAACATGTTCGAAATTTTGGTTAAAATCTTGTTTTGTTTACGTCATCGGGTGGCATAATAATTACATTGACTTTTTTGCGTTTTTTTCCGTTTAAAACACATTGTCTTGGAAATTATTGTAAAAATCAAATAATTGTTCGATTTTAATGAAATTTTCAGGACTTATTCACAAATGAAATAAAATTATTTTTGAAACCTTTTTTAGAAGATTTTGATAATATATATATATATATATATATATATATATATATATATATATATATTTTTACATATGTTATCCCCAGTTAGTTAATTTCATGAAATTTCACAAAAATACCTTTCTATTTCCTGAATTTTATTATTCGTTAAAAGTAGGACTCCTTGGAGAATGTAAATCACCTAATTCTTTCTTTTTTTTTTCAAACTTTTAATATTCTGAAACATCTTAGTCCGATGGAGTCGTAAAGGAGGAAAGGACACACACTAAAAGGTTTTCCACATTGTTATTAAAATCCCTTTAATATAAAGTTAATAAGCGCTACTAACTGGTATTACGCTACCCATAGATTTTTCCCATTTGTTCCAGTTCAACGCATAGAAAATATATTTGTTTAATCAGCTTAGTCCAACCATGGAATACACGTGAGGATCGAACACACCATGTTACAAAATTGGCTTGCTTTCATACTGAATCATGGTTGGTTGGAACAGATATTAACGAATTTTATCTTTGTTATTCAATTGCATTTCTCAGGCCAACTAATTGGCACTGTCTAAATCTTCTTCAAGTAAGCTACGACATGTTGTACTGAGTTACAAGGTTAACAGCAAGCAGAGACTCCTAGTGTGAGGTGTATTTTTTTTTATCTATATCCGAGTCATAAGAAATTTTCTATCCTAACTATTAATCATATGAGGCAGTTAAGAATAGATTTGGAGTACACTAACATAGCTTAGATTTTGCACGGTAGAGGCAGAGTACACCATAGATTAAAAGAAAACTATTGTTTTCTTCCATGACAACTAATGGCCACATACAGAAAGAATAACACAGAAAAAATGGAACTTGGTCTGTTTTACATTATCGGTCATATTTATAGGAAATAAACCCTATTTCCAACACGGTTACGTATCCAGATACATACCATATTAAAACACACCCAAACTTTATTTTCTACCCAGTAACAGACAACATTTAGAAACATGCTAAAAAGATTCCACAATACATACGTAATCAAAATATATATTGGTTAGAACTCAACATCAGCATGTGAAATCAGAAAAGAACTAAAACTATTTTTCTTGAACCTACTTTTAGTGAAAAATCTTATAAAAGCCATCAGATTTCAACTTTCAAAGAGCAAAGATACAACTAAAAAAACCTACTCAGAGCGTGCTTAGAGAAATTCGTGTCGGAGAATTCAAACGAACCAACTACAAGAACAATTTGGACGGTCAGTGAATCTTCGCTGATGATCATGTGTCGGCGATTTCAAACAAACTATCTCCAATAACAACATCATCAACAAATACGGTCAGCGAATCTTCGCTAACGATGTCTTTTTTCAACCGCACCTTTTTTCTGTGGACCAACTATTTAAATGTTTTTTCTAAACTAGTTTTTCTGTGTACCAACCAACCAACCAAAATCTTTAATTTAACGAAATGCTATTTTTTCGACTCCTTTGTATTCATGTACATATGTGGTAAATAAAAAGGGTTCCGTTTATTTAACTGACATATCCATGTTTTCTTTTTGTTTATTATTGTTTGGAATTCGGACGTTCGGATTTTTAATACGACAAAACATGGACGACTGAACCTCCTTCACATGACTTTACACCAACAAATTATTACCTTTGTCGATTGCTGCAAAAACGCTTTGATAAGGAAAACGTTCTCTAACAAAAACCAGATTGAAGAGTTTGTCAAAAAGTTTTTTTTTCTTTTTATACCAAAACGAATATAATTTTATTCAAAAGTCATCGAAGAACTGCTTGGTAAGTGGCGATAAGTCATTGCAAATAAGTTGGAATAACAGAATAAAATGTAATTTTACTTCATTTTTTTGGAGAATAAAGTTAATAAGAAAATAACGATAATTATTTCTGACAACATAATAATGATTTGGTTCATTTTTCTGCCAGAAAAAACAGAAAACGACCAATATAGCTGCTGTTATATTTTGAAAAAAAAAAGTATATTTTTAAATTGTTTTTTTTTTAACATAGATACAAGTACATATCTTTAGAATGTAGTTAAAGCATTAATACTTGGTGTGTTTATTTCAGTCGGGACGGGTACACTGTCTCTTGAATTGCCGGCTTCAGCAACTGGGTCCCTTCCTAGTCTGATAGAAGAAGGTGTATTCAGCATATCAGTCAAGACGATTTCATTTTCATGGAGCTGTCTGCTGCCGGTGTTTCTAACGTTAATACTCCAGACATTTTGTTCCGAGAGTGACTGAAAAGATCGAGAGAAAGAAAAAAATAAATTAATTACCGCAGTTTACAAAGTCCATGTCACACGTGAGTGAGCCATTGATTGAGCGATTCGTTTTCTACAGTTTATCAACCATTTGCAGGTTATTTAAAGCCAGAAAATATTTTTACATTGTAAGAATGTTTTAAAGATAACAACTTGTGATTTAGTAATTAGTCTTACGGAACCCATAGCTGGTGGGAGAAGTGGTGGATTCATACCTTTCCCAAGGGTATTTGCGCGTTTTCCAGTAATTCGCTGATATATTTAAATAGTTTACTGCACAATTTACACAATAACAGATAGTTCAAAAACACAATAGATCATCTCATGCAGTTCACTACATTAAGTGCAATTTTTTGTCTTCAATAGATGATTGTGTGAATCTGCCAATAATTGCTTCTGTATCCAATTAATCTAACAATTCCTTTTCGTTGGATAACAATATGTATGATTCCAAATGCTCTTCAGCTAGCGTTTATTTTAATCTTGTCTTTATGATCTTTAGGTTTGAAAATGTCCTCCCACATTGGACTTGAGTAACTGATAGTATACAGATGTCTTTATTCCTTTTTACTACTAAAATAGTTGTCTGTGTTTGTTTCTTTATTGCGCTTTTATTCAATATAGGAGGCCTATCCATCAGGGGCCCAATTGCCATCGAGCAAGCTGACACCTTAACCAGTCTATCGTCAGACAGTTGCATTACTTGTTACGCAGGCAGGCAGCATGAATATGTTTGGGCTTAGAAGTTTTTAAGGAGTTACCTTTAAAAGCTTTAGCTAAGAAAATTGGTTGTTTGCTTTTGTTTCAACGGCATATCGATACCTCTACAGGTTATTTAATGCCGAAATCTAAATATTTTGTACGCAATTATTATTTTATTTCATTTTTTTGGTTGGGGGAGCGGGATAATAATGGTTTTAGCGATACAAGTCTTACTTAACCCATAGTTGAAGGTAGAAGAGTTGGATCCATACCTTTCCTAGGAGTATTTGCGTGAATATAACGAACGTAACTGGAATTGGAACTTGGCTCTCCGATTAACAATTTCGGACCATTATTAATTAGACCAGCCGCACATTCAAATTTACAGCACCTAGTATTCTTAAGCGGTCACCCATCTAGTTACTGACAAAGCTCGATGTTGCTTAACTTCGGTGATCATACTGGAACCAGTGGTTCAATGTAAAGTTGTCGTAAGCATGCGTGAAAGAGAAGAGGACAAAACGAGGAAAATCAGAATTATACCCCCTTAAATGGAGAAACTTTTTTTTTATTCGTTACCAACTCACGCCTCTTTTAGGTAAAATTCGGAAGAAATAAAAAAAAAAGGCAGACAGAGAACCAGTAATGCAGTTTCACTGAATTGTTCATTCGAATTATGTAAAACTAGCAGCATGGCCCGGCATTGCCCGTCCTTGATTCAAAAATCGTACGACTCATACAGCAATCGCTATCATTTGACTTAAAATATTTTTGCCCTTCCTTGCCTTTAAAGGAGTGCCCTTTGCCGTGCTGATGTTGCTACATGCCTTACTTCTTGCCTATCTCACACTGCAAACTTTTTCTAAGCTCTATACTAAACATTAAATCTGTTACGAAAAAAGAACTAAACAAAATGAACACAAAACAATCAGCTTTAAAAAAAGACTCGTAATTGTAAAAACCGAATGAAAAAAAGAATGTTAACAACAAATACTTTTTTTTACATCCAACCCAGTTCTATGGAATCAGAATCAACGTTGAGTTTAAGCAAGCGAATGAGCCAATTGGAGTAAAGTGCCATGCAGATTTAAATTTTTCCCACTTGTGACAAATGCAGCTATCGATTTTTTTGCATGTTAACATTCGTGTCAGTCAGCTGTTGGCTCTCACGCTGGCCAATAGAATCTTCCTGCCTATTCGTGGCAGCCAGCTATTGGCTCTCACTCTGGCCAGTAGAAAATGGCCGCAAACTACATGAAAACTGTCGTAGAAGCATGAAAAAATCGAATATTTCCACTATCGATAGGAGTTGGAAAATGCAACGTTGGTCTTGGCCTTCCCGCTAACTTGGAGCATGTGCATGTAAATTTTAGTGCAAATCCGTCGAAAATTGCGGCCGTGCATTCGTCACACACACACACACGCACATACACACACACATACACACACACAGACACACACACACATCCTGCCTTTTATAGATAGAGATTTAAAAATATATTTCGAATGAATATATGGGTCTTCTTGCCTCCCATCAACATGGCTGATGCTAATCTCCACGAGATTGGTTCATTGCGCCTTCTTGGTCTAACATTCTCGGCTGATATGAAGTGGAAAGATTATTTTGAATCCATTGCTAGGTCTGCTGCTAAAAAAAAATCGGTTCACTGTATCGTGCTAGAAAATTCTTCTAACCAGAATCTTATCTTGCATATTTATAAGTCGACCATGCTTTGAATATGGCTGCCACATATGGTCCGGTGCTCCCTCTGTATATTTCGAGATTCTTGATAAAATCCAAAGAAGAATCTCAAATATTATTGGTCCTGACCTGGCATCTCAGTCACTTTCCCACTACCGTAATCTAGTTTCCCTGTGCCTTTTCTATAAATAATTTCATGGTAATTGTTCGAATGAATGAGCTCTTCACTATGGTACCTAGAGTTTATGAATTTAAGCGCAGTACTCGATTGGCGGCAAGGTCTCGTCGATTCACATTCACAGACTAGACGTAACCGTAAGTTCTACACTAAGAGTTTCTTTTCTCGCACATCTCGTTCTCTTTCGCCTTCATGCTTTCCAGCCAACTTTGATCTTAAAAATCTTTTTATGCACTGTCAATCGCTATCTACTGTCTTGATTACTCTTCTATTCTTCTTGCTCCCTTTTCTTTCGTTTTTTTTTTTCTTTTTTTGTTCTTCTAAACTCAGAACTTATGTCTTAGTGGCTTTACTGACTTGCATAGGGTGATATGATTAAAAAAAATATATACATAATTGGCTTACGGCCACATCACGTTAAAAGACCAATCCCTGTACGATCACAGAGGTTAAGTAACGTCGAGCCTGGTCAGTGCTTAGACAGGTGACCTCTTGGGAATACAAGGTGATCTAAGCTTGGATGTGCGGGTGGTATAATGGATAATGACTCAGAATTGTTATATCGGAGAGCCGACGTCCAATTCCAGTCGGGCTCTTTATATACACTTACGGGCAAATAACCTTGGGAAAATCACCTATTCTCCACTACGCTGTGGGTTAATTAGTAAGACTTATATGACTAAATCATTATTATCTAAAAAAAATATTCTTATAATCTAAAAACATTTTCTGACTTTAAATAACCTACAAAAGCCGAAAAAAACGAATCAATTAATCAACCATATATACTCGTATAACGTGCGATGCTTATTTTAAATACAGCTGTACTTTTTGACTACAGTCAATGGATATATAATTTAGTCAACGGCGTAACCAGGGCCAGCAGTACATACGCTAATTTTATATCTCGTGTATGATGCGACCCTCTTAAAATTAGCTACAAATTTAAGTCTTGAAAATTCGCATGATACGCGGGTATATACGGTAAATAATGGCCGGCTACTCGTTTCTGAGTGCACCCGTCTTCCAGGCGTATAGTCAGGCATATTGGTGTTTGTTCAAGACTCCTAGAGCCCACCTGTGGTTTATACTGCAACTGTGCTGAGCGGGACTAAGTTACAGATTCTGGAAGAGAAGAGCATCACTCGGCATGATCAAGAGTTTGAACAGGGCCACTACATTCAAACCCTTGGTGACGATTCCTGGGAAAACCTAGAAGCCTTTTATGCCAAAATTTCTGATGTTTTGTGAGATTTTGGGAAGTTACGCATGCCAAAAACCTTTCACTAGAAACGCATCCATTGATAACTGTCAACAACAACAACAACAACAAACCTTTTTCTTTTGACGCGAGCCAAACGGGTTGTTGCATCTGACAAAGTTATCAACGAATACGCATCTCGGGAAAAAATATTAACGTCTTCTGCAGCGAATCATGTTTGGGTTATCGACCGGTTGTTATTAGGTTAGGGATCGTCGTTTGAACTTGAGAAGGTCGGGTGTGTTGACGACCAAAATTGTACCGAATTGGTCGAGAAAATACATAAGGAAAAGTGTGAAACAAAACGAGATAGACATGTTTATTTTATCGGGAATATTTTCGTTTAGAGAAAATTTCGACGATAACGTCTAAAAGAAAGAGCGAATTCAAGGAATGTTCTTAAGAGTTTCTGCAAAAACTGAAGGAACAATTGAACTTACTCTGTTGGTGAACAAAAAGAGTGAGTGAGGTGTATTGTTTAGACCGTGTGCGACTATTGCACCGAGCGCTAATTTTAGCGTTCTATCCTAATCTCAGCCTGAAGTAAAAGTAAGCTAGTCTGGATTCACACCGCGCATACTCCCAGCTGAAAAGGGTTGTTGTTACTGACAGAGCTATCAACCAGGCTAGTGCAAAAGTTTTAACGTCTACTATAGCTTTTAATTGCTCTAATTCCTACTCATATTCAATTTTACATTTCTGCAGAAAAGCTTCAATAGAATATTGCTCATCGGAGCCAGCTCCAAATGTTCTTTTTTCAGTCATATCTTTTAGACGTTTTTCTTTTATAAGAAGAAAAGACGACACGTTACATGACTAATATATTGTTTTGAGTTGAGATGATTTAAATGAATTTTTAAAATTGAATAAATTATATTTTTTGAATGAAATTTTAGAATATATATCAAATAAATTTTATTACTGTAAATTGCGGTGTACAAGTCGACCTAACGTACAAGTCGACCTAGCGTACAAGTCGACCTCAAGACATTTAACTCAAAATAGTTCAGCTCCCAAACATAGGTGGCGAACAGTATTTGGAGCAAGATTTTGAAGTATTTTAAAAATGTGATCATGCAAGTTATTTTATTGTGAATAAAATATTTTTAAAGCATTATTAAAGTTGAAGCTGAAATTTATAAAATACCGTATGTACGCGTTACCGTAATGTATCTATATATAAAATTCTGCGACTTCCGTTAATCCATCTGTCCGTCCGTCCGTCACACCCTCTAAAATAGTCATACATTTACCGATCGAAACCAAATTTTGGGGAGAAGTACAAACAGCTAAGGGGGTACAAAATATAGTTGGTTTTACTAGGGTGCGTAGTTTAGTACAATATTCATTAATATTTTGAGAAAAATTAAAAGTTTTACTATTTGGCATACAAAATACTCTCACTATTTTCAAAAACAATTTAATCAACAGTACTAAATACGGTGAGTTTTAATGTTTAATGCACTATGATAACTTTCAAGTAACTTTTAAAATAATGTTGTCCCATAATTGCACAATAATTATGCTTTTATGGTATGTGTGTATTCAATAAAGTGCCATTATCTATAATTAAACTTTCATTGCTATCATGAAATTGTGATGACACGCGTACCAAACGGCGCTTCGTTCAGTGTATCAGTTGTTCACTTAGTGTTGAGCGCGATGAGTGCTGTAATGTTAATAGAATACTGAATTTGTCTTTCTATGCTATTATGTTATATTAATTTCTGTGTTAATATGCCAAATATATTTATTATTACCGTAAATTGCGGCGGACTTGTCAATCTTCTGTACAAGTCGACCTCAAGATTTTTAGCTGGGTCTATATCCACCGTAGAGGTCGACCTGAAGGCTACTAGGCTACTAGTGGCCCCAAATTTAGGTCTACAGGTAAATGAAATTAGACTACTGTCATGGGTCCTTACCTATAACTACAGAATGAATCTTCCTAACACTATGTATACTATGCCTCTCAAGAGAGAGGGACGAATCGAGTCGAGCCGATAGTAGTTCACTCCAAACCAGACTGACAGTCATACTAACACCTTCCACATCTTGTATTATTATTTCGTGTAATATACCTTCGTTTTTTCTACTCTTGTGCTTGTGTTGTTCTTCCTTGGTCCTAACCTGGACCATAACAGCTGCATTATGCGATAACCTGCGCCAAAACTACATAAGGTCACACCACTTACCTGTATAATGAGATACTAACCGTAATAGTTTTCTATATGCGTCGTATAGCAAACAACCTACAACACACACTGGTAGGTATTGTATATTGTATCGGTATAACTTGGCGAACATTTACAATTCGTCAGGTCTATTGATAAACACAT